TCCTGTAGACGTGTAGGACTCAATTTCTTTCATAAAACTCCTGGGTCATCAGCCTTGCCCGACACCATCCTTCTGAGTGTGGCTTGGGTCCCCACTGACATCTGCATTTCATTGAAGTGGCCACCCTAGTCCCCACAGGGACCAACCCCTGGCTCATCGGCAGCACGGAATGAGGGATTCCAAGAGACATTCATTTATGCAGAGTGCCAACTGCATGCCTGGCGTGGTAGGTGATGCTGGGTGCACATTAGTGAATAGGCAGATGCATGTCCCTGCCCAGAGCTGGCAGTCTAGAGAGGCAGGGAGGCAGAGAAGAAACCACGGACATACAAATACACATTTGCTGACACCAGGTAGGGTCAGGAGGGAGCAGACGGTGACACCAGGAGGAACCTACTGAGATGGTGTGAAAGTTGGTGAAATCACTTTGCTGAACTCAGACAAAGTAAAGCTGGAAAGACACGAAGGAAGGGGGCTCATGCCTGCTTGTCTAAGAGAAGGACTGTTTCCAAGGACGTCCCAAGTCCATCAGAACTCCCTTCCCATTTGTCAAGTCCTTCACGCATCTCCTGCTTTGCACGTACACAAGTTCTGGTGACAAAGTCTGTCACTCAACGTTCTTCAGAACTGCAGTAATTCAGACATGATGCTCCAAGAAGAAACTGCTCAGTAATGGCATCATAATAAACTGATGGCAAATCTGACTGAGCCTCTGAAACCAATGACCTCTGTTTACCAATAAAAACTTTCTTGCTTTCCCTCATCAGATGCACTCATGGCTTGCCATGGTGTGCATTATGGATTATAATCCCATTTTCTATTCTCGAATAAACTCAACGCATTTGGAGATATTTTTCTCTGTTATTTCTGGGCTAACAATGGTATGGTCTGGGCAGCCTCATCCAAACTAGTGGAAAGGATCAATCGCAGCTACACACTCATTTCATATCTTATCTTATGGTTTGAATGTTCCTTCCAAAACTCATGTTGAAATTTAATTGCCATTGTGATAGTATTGTGAGGTGGGACTGGACAGATAGGAGGTGACTAAGCCGTGAGGGCACCGCCCTTGTGAATGGATTAACATCCTTGTTGGGGAGTGGGTTCCCTGGAGAGCCGGTTGTTCTTTATAAATGAATCCTGCGCTTTCCATCTTGCTCTTGCCCTCTCTCACCTTCTGCCTTCTGCCACAGGATGACGCAGCACAAAGGCCCTCACCAGATGCCAGCACCTTGATCTTGGCAGAGGCAGCAGGCCGATGGGAAGCCACTGGCTGCCTCATGTCCATGTTGTCCCTTTCACGCTCTCCTTCCATGCCCTAACCCTTCTGCCACAAGTTGGAGGTTTTGGGGTGGCAGCAGCTTCGGGTCTTGGCCACCCCTGGCCCCGCAGAGGAAGAGCCAAGCTCAGCAGTCCAGAGGAGCAAGCCAGGGAGCCTTGGGAGATGGGCAAAGTCAAGGTGGGTGCTGGTGGGAGGCGGGTGCTGCGTTCCCTTAAGGCGAGGCACGCAGGTGCTGGAGGGCCTGGTGAAGCACAGAAGGACAGCCCAGGCACAGCCCACACGGCCTCACTGGGCAGCAAGGTGTTCCTGGGAGAGCGGGCCTGGGTGAGCCAACCTGGGCGAGCTGACCAGCTGGCCGGGACGCTGGACGTGGTGGTGTGGGCAGCAGCACCGTGCCACCCTGGGGTGCCCACAGTGCTGGTCTAAGACCACCTGCAGAGGCTGTGAGGGAACATTTGCTCTCTCAAGAGTGATGTGGATCCACTTTTGCTTTCTTTCAGTCAAGTAATGCAACTTGCTAACCTAGTCCATTTAAAAAAAAATCACATAAAATGTAAAACACACATAAAATGTGCCACTTTAACCATGCTGAGCGTACAGTTCGGTGGTATTAAATACATTCACGCTGCTGTGCAACCATTACCAGCATCCCTCTCTGGAACGCTTTTCATCTTGCAAAACTGAAAGTGTCCACGTTAACCATTAACTCTCAGTTCCCCCCTCCCCCAGATCCACTCTTTCTGTCTCTATGAATTTGACTACCTCATGTAAATGGAATCACAGTATTTATCTGTGACTGGTTTATTTCACTTAGCATAACGTCAAGGCTCATCGATGGTGTAGCATGTGTCAGAATTTCCTTTCGAGGCTGAGTAATATTCCACTGTATGAATGCCACATGTTTATCTATTCATCTGCTGACGGACACTGGGTTGTTCCCACCTCTCGGCTGCTGTGAGCAATGCTGCTGCAAACATGGGAGTGCGACATCTCAGGACACTGCTTTCCATTTCTCTGGGTACTCATCCAGGAGTTGGATTGTTGGAACATAAGGTAATCCTATTTTAAACTTTTTGAGGAAACTAGTCCAGTTTTTGAATGGAGTTAACTTTCACCAGTTCAACACTGATAGTAATGTGTTAAAGGTATCACTCAACAGTCCCTCAGGTGGCAGTGGCTCTGTCTCTTTCTAGGAAGTACTGTTACTTGCATCAAGGTCTTCCTACTCTCCACCCAGAAACAGACTTGTCAGTTCCAAATGTTGGTGCAAGTCAAGTTTATGATCAGACGTCTGAGGAGACAGACTAGAACTGTCCCCCTGCTTTCAGGTTTCAGGAAGGTGCTGAAGAGGAGCTGAGGGGATGGAACGTAGGAAATAACAAGCAGGAAGGGGCGGGACGTGCACGGGGACAGGTGTAGTCTCACCAGGACTCCATCTGGTTTCTGTTCCCCTCCTTGCTGTCATTTCACGGGCCTGCTGGAGGGTGGAATCAGCATAGTTCTTTTGGTGTCTTCCTTTGTTTCCCTTAGGTAACACATGCAAGTCTGCAGCCCCAGGCTGACAGAAAGCAACCTTTCATTCATGTAAATCTCATCTTGCCCCATAACCAAGATTCAAAATATCAAATAACCAGGGGAAAAGAGGGAACTCAGAGAAATGCATGCAAAGGAAAAAGCTGTCCTTTTAAAATCTTTTAGAGCTCATGTGGTTTTGGGTCCCAACATGGCTTCAGTCCTGCTCACTCCGATGGTACAAATGGTGGCTACTGGCTGGGCACGTGCTGCATGGGGCCTGCTCATTGTTGGAGTCCTCATGGCAACCTAGCCAGTCGGTACTAGTATCACCCCCATTTGACGGATGAGGAAGTGGAGGCTCACGAACCGGGTGACTTGCCTAAGAAAACACACAGCTCACTGGGGTCAGTCTGGGATTCCCACCAGGTCTGTCTGGCTCTAGAGCCCATGCACACAACCTCTAAGCTGGACTGCCTGACTGAAGCATTTTCAGAGTCTGTGCTATATTTCAAGTGCAGTAATATGGACATGTATAAGTCAGAGAATGGGGAACGTGATTGCAGTCTCAAACATTTTACAGCCTACACATGGAACAATGGCCATGTGAGATGCTGCTGGGCTGGCCAAGAGCACCCAGAGAGGAGGGCTGGGTAAGGGGAGAGAATGCCGTGGTTCTAAGACAGAATTTGCAGGCAGGCAGTCAGCAGGAGCCATGACATTTAGAAATTTATTAAAGCTTCCAGTCACATAACTGCATTAGAGGGAGAGCACTCCACATTCTGCAGCTCGGTCCTGCCACCAACAAGGGAGCTGCGCAGGCCTGATGCTCCAGGATCCCCCTTCCCCACCGCTCAGGCTGCCAGGGGACCAGCTGAGCCTGAAACCCCCAGCCAGCAGGACTAGCGCCCCCTGCTGTATGCAGGGTACACTACAGGGCAACCAGAACCTGGGAGAGGCCATTTCCAGATCTCAGGGTGACTGCCCCATGGAACTCTTGAAGGAAATGTGTAG